TTTTTTTTTTTTTTTTTGGCCCAGACCGCCGCCAGTTCGAGCGGGCACGGGCACAGGGACACCCCACTCGTTGCTCCTGCGTTGTGGAAAGGTGTTTAGCAGACTTTTACGCCCGGAGTGTGGGGTTTGCACTTCATTTTTTTCCTTCCCCCCTCTTCCCCAAAGCAAGATGGACTCTATTGCCTTTCTCTTTCTCCCTCTACCTCTGTCTTGTCAGCCTTTAAGATCGACATTTTGTACTAAGATGCAAACTTGAGGGTGACCAGCAACAAAGCCTGGGTGGGATCCCTCCCTCCCTTTCTCCCTCGGCGTTTCCTAGCTTCCCCCACCCCGACCTCGCCGACCCGGTGGCCTGCGCTGGCTGTCGTGGGCTCTGGAGAATGTGTTTCCCCAGGTCGACTCCGATCTCCAGTCTCGGGAGTGTGACCCAGCCAAGCTGTTGGGAGCTGGCTGTGGCCGCCCAGGTCTGCAGGTCTGAGGGCTGTGATACCTGGACCCGCTCGCTGCTGCTGCTGCCGTGGCTTCTCAGGCTGGCTGGTTCCTGGGCACAGCGAGGCACGGAGGAGTGCCTATCGATCTTTATGATTTGGTTACTGGTGTATTTGCCCAGGGGGTGGTGATCACTTGTGCAAGTTGATGAATGATCGTGATCTGTGGGGCTTTGCTGTTCAGAACGGATCAACTTTCTGCTTTGTACCGGCAGGGAGTAGGAAGCAGGGTTCTGGGGGAGACCTCGGAAGGCCAGGTGGGCTGCCCCCACCCGCTTTGAATAAACCAAGATGCTTTCCCTTTCTGCCCTTGCAGCTCTTTCAGGGAGGAGGGTGGAGACAGGCAAGGGGTTGTCGTGGAGCTGGACTCCTGGGTTTTGTGTCCTTCCACGTAGCACTATACTCTTGTAAAGCCTTCCCATCCTGATGATGTGCCTTTATTTGCTACTTATAGGTCACTCTCATACGACAAAGGCTTTGCTGCAGTTCATCTTCCTTCCTGTGTACCTCCCATTTACCTTCTTGGGTAAGTATGCACACTCTTGAGAGAGGGAAATGGGTAGCTGTTGGTAGTGACAGAAGGGTCACTATTAGACGCTTATTGGGGTTGTGATACTCCCCTCCCCAACCCCCACCCCAGGAAGCTTGTCTCATTGAGTTTCTCACAGCCAAACTCGGGATTTTTAATCTTTACAGTTTAGCTGTAGGCTATTAACAGTTCAAGACAGTTTAAATGTGTGTTTGTTTATCTGCCAAGTGTCACTTAAGAACTAATTATCAAATAGACATTTTAGTTGGTAATGAAGTTTTACACAGAGTTGAAGGCCTAGTAAATTTGTCAGACAGTAATGTAGAAAGCTTGTAATGTATGAATGAACTTACTAAAAACCCAAGGAAGCACCATAAAGAGGACTTCTCTAATTATGTGATGTGCTCACTTTTCCCCAGATTCTCACCTTCGGTGGTACATGAAAGCATTACTTTTGGGTTGAAGAAGGTTGTATTTAGGTAGTATAGTAAGTTTATTTAATGTATAAGCCTGGTATATAACAGTGATTCTAATTTCCGTAAAGGTTTAGGTAATTGGAGAAATTAGGAGCAATTTACTAGTCTTGTGCGTGAAACAAGCATCTACTCTGAGATTTATTGTTCAGTGCCATTTTCAGATAGACGCCCCCCAACTCTCCAAACTTCTGCAAACTATGTCTGGGGTAGTAAGTGTCTGAAAAGTTTGTGAGAGATCACCGTGTAGTGAGAACAGTATTTGCACAGCATTTAAGAGCAAAATGGTGTCTGGAAACTACAGAAAACTAGTTAGTGACTTCTGCCCATCCACAGTAAAGGTATTTAGAGTTGTTAATGGGTCTAAGAAAACTAGCTGTACTGAATTGTATAAATTTTATAAATTTATGATCATACCGTAGTGAATTTTGAAATTGTGCTTTGTGAATGAAAATGAGTTAGATTCAGTCTTCCATGAAATAAAACTTGAGATTCCTTTCTTGTTTCCTGATCGGCTGGTTATGTATATTAATAAATATGTTAGCGTTAAAAGGGATTAAGTTTGAAGATCGGGCCTTTGTGGTAATCCATAGCCAGTAACAAATATACTTGGACATTCCTGAGGGATTTAGGTAATCTGTTTGGAGCGGTAGGTAATCTAAATTTTGTGAGTATTTTTAAGTAATATAAATAGTACACTAGTTAAGTATTTCCTTCAATCAGAGATCTCATAATGTCACACGTATAGTGGATCAGTTGGGGTGGTTGTAAGCTGATTATTTTGTAAGGTGAATTTAGTATGTACAACAATATGTAGGTTTTAGTATTGCCGATTTTTTAAAAAAAGTATTTCCTTTTCCCTATATGAGAGTAGATTCAGAATACATTACTGTTTTCTAAAGAACATCCTATTTACACACAAAACTACATTGTGTGTGCTGTGGCGAACATTTAATGTTACTTTTCCCTCTGGAAATGTATTTGACCGATTCAGAAACTTAATATGAGAATCAATACCAGAATAAAAGCAATCTGACCAGCTCTTGCATTTCTTTGAGATAGCAAACAACTTCTTCATTAAAACAGTGTTTTAAAGAACTGTCTTTGAAGTCAGTAGAGTTACTGTGACAGTGTAAAACTTGCCATGGGATCTTTAAAAAGTTACCTTGCCAGGAATTACCAGTTGTTTGCACCCACAATGTATTTACTGGATATGAGGCTTTACTTATCAGAGTAAGAAGAAAGAGTTTTTTGCTTCTGTATCATCAAGAGTTTGCAAACTTCTCTAATTCTGCATATCTTTATTAAATTCTGAAGCTGAAGCCCTAATTTGCATTTCATATAAGATGCCAGCTATTAAAAGGATGGCTTATCTGTGTTGTTTCATGGTGCTACATCTTTGGAGTTCTGGGGTGGTTTGAGGAAATCTTCCATTATAAACTTAGGTATCTTAAAAGCTTTACAATTTTGAGGCTTAATAAATCCATCTTGATCTTTGCATCCGATAGGCTTAATAAATCCATCTTGATCTTTGCATCCGATTAGAAAAAGTGTTAGAGTTATGAGTTAATGAGGTAGCTTTGTTTTTTAATATAGAAGGAACGATGAGCCTGAAAATAATGTGTTGTTTGGCAGCTAAACTAATAAAAACACATTTTCAGTAAAATCAAACAATTTCCAATTATTATTCATTAGCTAGCATACTTGAAGTGTATGTTTTCCGTACTTCATGAAGAGCATAGGTAACAGCGAGGTCCACATCTTCAAGTGAGTCTTGCTGTGAATATCAGTTTTATGTTAGAAATCTTAATTTGTAGTAATGAAGGATTCTTGGCACTACTTTATAAAAAAAAAAAAAAAGAAAGAAAGAAAGAAAGAAAAAGAAAAAAACTTTTGGGAAAGTGTCACAACAGATGTGCCTGTTTTTGTTGTACTCAGTAATGCCCAAGTTTCTTCCTAGTGTCTTCCTAAAGTGCTGACCATGTTTCCAGTTGTGGTACGAAAATTAATGTAGATGATTGATTTAGAGGTACTGCATCTTCAGCAGTGAGGAATGTCAGGGAGTTAAGTGTTAAACAGGTACTTAGCTCAAGAAAAAGATACTTTTTTTGAACTTGTACTTTGGCGACCACTCAGTTTTTAACAGCTTACCACTAAGGGCAGCTTTTAAAATTGGCTTGACTGGTATGGTAGCTCTCTTGTGCTCTGCATGGTGCTGTTTCTGTATTTTTCAGTTATAACTGAGCAAAGTTTGAGTTCGGTTTCACGCAGGATGCATAGCTGATCATTTTAACATTTCAAAGGTTATCATTCCTTGGAATGCCAGGTGTATGATCATAAAGCTGTCCGGGTTTACCCAGAAAATCCCCATATGTTAATGGGGATCCTTGTCATTTTTTTCCCTTTCAAAGGAAAAAACTATAGGATGATTATTGAAACAAGTGCCAATTAAACAAGAGCATGCTTAGGAAGGCAAGCCAGTAAGGAATTCTATCTAAAAATATAAATGGAAGATGAGAAAATGAGGGAATGGAATACTTAACAGATTAAATTCCTGCAGTGTTTGATTTCTCCCTAAGAATACATAGTTAAATTATACCCATCAGTTCAAGGGTCTAGGTAAGTGAAATAACTCTACATAGTGAGGAAGTTGGATAAAAAACAAAGGGGCAGTAATTAAGAGAAGCCTTAAAATACTGCAGAATGTTGGCTAAATAAATTTATGGGTAGTTAAGCACAGACCTCAGAAAGACTCCAGGGGTATAACAGAAACTCTCGGAATGGAATAACTAAGATCCTAAAAATGACAGGTTATATTTTTTTGTAAAAGGAATATTGAAATTACTTATTTAAAAGGAGAAAAGAAGATAAAAATAGTTAATACAAACTGGGCAGTGGTGGAGCACGCCTTTAATCGTGAGGCAGAGGCAGGAGGAGCTCTCTGAGTTCAAGGCCAGCCTAGTCTACAAAGTGAGTTCCAGGAGAGCCAAGGCTACATAGAGAAACCCTGTCTCAAAAAAAAAAATAAATAAATAA